CTCATATCTGATTATTACTCCATTTTTACACATCACATTCCCGGTAAAGGTTGCTATAGGGCATGTTAGGGTGCAATTAGCTCCTTTACGGGACCATCCCCAGCCAATACAGAGCTAAAACTTACAAGCGTCCCTCAGAAGTCCAGTTCTCCACCACAGAATCAGCAATAAAGCAGTGTCTCAGTTTACACCGTGAGCTGCACAAACGTTGATCCATGTTAGTGGTTACTGGTAGCTTGAGTTTGAAGCAGTCACACTTCAGGCCAGCAGCAGCCTGGAGGACTGAAAGGTAAGAATCCCATCCCCTCCCATTCCAGGCTTGACCCTGCCCCCCAGGATCCCCACCCCCCTCCAGGGCCCTCCTCTACCCCTTTCCCCCCACTTATTTGTGGCGTCCCCTGCTGTCTGTCCCAGAGAAGCAGGCAGGGAAGGGTTAACTTGCCTACCCAGCTGCCTCTGGGGTGCTGGGGAGGGTGGGGGCAGTGGGTCCAATCTGGGCAGGTGGAAGAGGGTGGGGTGTTTACACTAACACTAGCTTGATAGCACAGATGAGAGAAAGTGCTTAAAGCTAGCTTCAGATATTAATGTGCAGACAATCCAGGTTTTAAGAGTTCCAAGAGTTGCCCAAAATCACCATGCAACAAGGCCCTACAGAGCCAACATCCTATGGCACAGAAATAAGTGAATACTTTCTGCTTACTTTTAAAGCTTCCAATTTAAAATCTTTACTGGTAAATGCTGGCAGTTGGGAGGTGAAAGAAGAGGATTCACTGTAAATGGGGTGAGGACCGGTACAAGGGACAACAGATGAAAGCAGGGTAAATAAGTAACATCCGGAGAGAAATGGTCAAGACAGCAGCTGTTGGGTAGAAGATAAAACAGGGTTAGGGACACCTGCAAAACCAGATGGTCCTGCTGCTGAGCGAGCTTGAACACTTTTGGTCAAGTTAAACAGTAATGATAACTAATTACAAGTTTAAATGAAGAAAAGTGGTATTGTAAAGTTTAATAGGAGCCAATTCCTCCATTTGTTTCCTGCTTATATTTAACTCTGGTCAGGAAGAATAAAGTGAGGTGCGTGTGAAATTTAAAAAGCACCACTATGCCTTTAGTCTCAGAACCAGCATACCCACTTGGCCTGCAGTGAAAAGTATTTCTGATGAAACATGTCTTTGAATGTTTCTCTCCTGTGGTATTTCTATGCTAATAAAGGTTGCTAACAAAGTAGGAAAGCTCTCAATTAGTCTTTGAGTATATTTTTGCTCTGTTACCACTAGAGGGAGTAACTTGCTTGTTTTTGTAACAAGATAGTCCTTTTACAATGTTTTTTTACACAGATTAATGGAGTGCCTAATTCCAGCATTGTGAACGCAAATGCAATTCCATTTGAATTTAATCAACTCTGAATTTGGTTCTCGAAGCCTCTCTCTAGTGATCAATATTGAAACAAACGATTACACTTAATGGAGGCACAGGCAGGTAACCACAGGAACAAAACTGCACACTTATATTTAACATGCTGATTGAATGTAAATCAAGCTTACACCAGAGTTGTAGGTGAGCAAGACAATACCAGTCTATTCATTTGTATTTTATAGTGCTTTTCAACTCTGGCTCTCACAGTATTTTGCAAATATCAAGTCCTTAGACTTCAAAGAGGTTCTTGTGAAAATATTGGCAAGATCACTGTTTACAGACGAGAAACAGAAGGGACAGATAAGTGCCTCACTCAGAAAGAGTGAGACAGCAGGAGATCTGGGAACAGAACACTAAGAGTGCTGTCTGTGATAGCCTAGTGGCTACAGCAAGGCAACTGTTCTTTCAGATTAGAAGCCAAATTTCCCTTCACACAGAGACTTTGCTGAGCTAATGCTACAAAATGTACAGACTACATTCTGGACAAGACCCGGCTTGTCACTTCCCACTGTTTTGGGGAGATGGCAAAATTCCCTGTTAAGAGAGTAGAGGGAATTGGCTCCTACTACCATACTACCAAATCTGTAACAAGGCTCGTTTGAAAAAAAATCGTAGCCTAAACTATACTTCTTGCCCCAAAAGTCTTAATGCCCTTCCACGCAGTTATCAAATGTGAACAACACTACTTACTGCCTTTGCAATACTGGTCCACATTCTAATCAGAGCTACTGGTTTAAGTGACAAAATACACTTCAGCCCTACAGGGTCAGCATAGCTAAGATTAAAATGAACAACAAAGTTTGTTCCAGCTTGTCCATAACCAAAGCCATTCAGAATCCAGTCAGTTAAACCTATGCATACTCAGATGACTTTTATGTTGCCCAGCTACAGTTGAGTATATAATCTGAAGACAATGGGATTGCACAGGTGTAATTCAGGGCCTAATTTGGATGTCCTACCTTAATTAACAGCAACAAAGCACAAAGTGGCATTTTGACATTTATTTTTTGGAGTAGAGACACACTAAAAGAAAGATCAAACCATAGAAGTCTAAGAGAGAGTACAAAACATGTGTTGCGCATTCTGTAAAAGCAATCTTGAATGGGCTTCCATAGGGCACTGCCCAACAAAGGCATTTTATAGAATGAGGGACTAAAAACACAAACACTACAATATCTAGCTTGCATTCACACTCCTATATACAACATGGTAACAAATACCTCTCTCCCTGCCTTTCAGTTCTCACCCAAGTTATGCCTGTATACCTTCATAGAGCTGAGAGTGTTACAGAGAATGCAAAAGACAAGTACTTACAGATTTATTGGAGTCTCAGAACAGCAGAGACTCCCCATGTCTAAAAAGAGTGCGCCTGAAAGCATGCCAATAATTTTTTTTCCAACTACTCAGTTGGTCTAATAAAAGATATCACATCTACTCAAAGAACTTTGCCTACCCAAGTACCTACATATCACATTTACTGAAAATATTATTTTGATTTGCAGAAGTGTTTACCCCAAAGCCCTTTTACCAGATTTTGTTGTTGACGCTGAGACCAAACAGGGAATAAGACCCCACTGTTCCCAGTTAAGTTAGTAAGAGATGGTGTTGCTAAGTAACTCTAGGAACAGAATAAAACAATTTAAATTTAATTTAAATTTTAATTTTAATTTAAATACAAAGGCTTTTACGTTATGTACATTCTCTTAATAGTTATGCTGAAGAAAGTTGTACCCCTTTTTCCACCATGATGTTTGGTTCAAATCCATAATTAAAGGCAATACAAGCTTTGCCTTTATTAACAAAAAAAATTCACAACAGTTCCATGTAACAGGCTACTATGGTATTGAGAAGAGTTTTGTTAACTATAAGCATGTGTCTTCAGTACAGGTTTCAATACAAGTGCCTTACCACTGTTCCACTGGTTGCAGCGGTAGCCTAGACCAGCTGCTTGCATTTTAACCACTCTGTTTAAAGCAAGTGTAAATGACAGACTGATTAAAACACTGACAACTGTCTGGTGCCTCGTCTAAACTAGAGCTTCCACTGTTGACATCATGAGTGCAGGTGCGCAGTCTGAAATTTGTAAAAACACAAAATCTAAGCCGCAACACTGATCAGATTGTAAAACACTGTTTTACAAGAGAAAGGAAAATTGTAATCTGAAAGTTGCTGAATGTTTAGCTTGGAGATTGGCAGCAAAATTCCAGTTGCTTTACAAATGCCATGCTTCAAGGTCCTAGACATATCAGAAACTGATAACCGATCAACTGATCCTTTTTTGGGCAAGTTTCAGATGAACTCTAGGCAGGTTGCTTTGCAGAAGCTCTGATTTTCCTGACATCATCAGTGAATGGACTTTAAAATTAGATTTCAAAAGTCTACTGGACACGTTCTAGGCTGGTCTAAAGAGCAGGACACATTTCCAAGAGTGAACAAAGCAGCTAGACAGATCCAATCTGCCTATACTTCAAGGGGTATTATATTTAAATGAGCAAATTCTGCTCAGCGCAAGTCTTCTCTTAGAATGGCAGAGGCAGCAATCCAATTTCTCCGTGTCTGCGTGCAACTGCTTGCCCTGCCCATATACCTGCTGTCGTTCCTGGGCATATGGAAACCTTTTGGTAGTAAGGTATTCTTTCCCTTTTTCATGGAGAGGTTCTCTGAATATTACAACCAGAAAACATCAGTGCAGAAATGGGAGCTGTTTCACAACCTGCAGGAGTTCACAGGCTCTTTGGAAGCACTGAGGCTGTTGGAAATTGGAACCGGCACTGGCACCAACTTCCAATTCTATCCACCTGGCTGTAGAATTACCTGTTCAGACACAAACAGCAACTTCCAGAGTGGTCTTTCCAAGAGCATGAACCAAAACCAGCACCTGCAGTTTGAGGACTTCCTGGTGGCTCCAGCGGAGAACTTGAACCAGGTGGCTGATGGCTCCATGGATGTAGTGGTCTGCACCTTGGTCCTGTGCTCTGTGCAGAATGTAGAGGATGTCTTGAAAGAAGTTAAGAGAGTGCTCAGACCAGTAAGTACTGGGGAGGGACATTTTTTCTTATGCCTGTTCTACAGTCTCTGATGTAGATTCTCCTTTAGTGGTGTTGTGCTGCTCAGGAAGATGCAAAGCAACCATAGATCCAATTTATCTGGCCAATTAAACAAAGTCTCCAGCTACAATGCAACCCAACATGATGCAAAGTAGTAGGAGCGTACTGGTTAATCTGCTCCATGACTCTCAAGGCCAAACTGTGTTTTGTGGATTCAATTCCTATTTACTTCTATTGCCATTATGACCCAGCATTTATAGCAGAATTAAGCCCTTCATTATTTCCCTCCCTCCTAAGTAATTTTCCTTAGGGAAAAAAAAGAAAGTAGTGAAACATACTGCATCAGCTAACAAAGGGCAGCAAAAGGGATTTTTTAAATGTTACTTGTCAGAATGAAGACTGGCAATCATAGAATCATAGAATCATAGAAGCAGGGTCGGAAGAGACCTTGTAGATCTTCAAGTCCGACCCCCTGCCTGGGCAGGAGAATAAACCCTGCTCAAATGATTCCAGCCAGGTAGGCATCAAGCCTCCTCTTAAAGACCCCCAGGGTAGAAGCCA